GTGTCCCTGYTGGAGCAGGGGGTTGGACTAGATGATCTCTAGAGGTCCCTTCCAACCTTAAACATTCTGTGATTCTGTGTGGTTTGGTTTGGGTTTTGATTTTTGGCTTTTGATTTTTGCTTAAATCCATCCACTTTCACTAAGAATGGGATTCAAGGCATTTAGAGTCCTCAAACTCAAAGCAGAGAATCACTGGTGAAAAAAAAGATATTATCTMAGGGCCAGGATCTCCTTTGCTTCGCTGATCTTGGTCCCATGGATTTTTCTCCTTTACCATCCAGTGAGCTTAGTTTCAAAAAGAGGAAAGATGGGAGACCAACTGCCCAGGCAAGAACTTGACACATAAATCAATTAGGGATCCCTCGGGCTTYTCCCTTATTTTATGACTCCCAAGGAGACTGAGACAGGAGCAGAGCTGTCCTTGGAAGGGATCATCTGATCTATGACTCCTAGAAGGGTCAGGTGGACTGTGACTGTGGYTCTACTGAAGACCAGATGCTAATAATTCTGTTCCTCTGGTTCAAAGAAGGTCTACGAGCGTGACCTCTCCTCTCCCATTGACATCTTTCCACACAACTGTAAATCCAGCCAAACATTTCCTGAGTGAGTACAAGGCAAATGAGAGGAAAGGACTCAGACATACAGCAATTTGGCAGGAGATTACCTAAAGCACTACAATAATAAAGGAAAAACAAAGTTAAAGGGCAACAGAAACTCTGTCCTTTACTGGGTGGAGATCAAAAATTTTAAGTGAGCCTAGAAGGTTTAAGTGAAAATGTAATTGTTTCAGTGACTGAGTGATGATGATACCCTAGAAACAAATTTTACCTATTGTGTTGCCCCAGTGACTTATATTTGAACAGTGAGCCTTATCTAGATATTAGTTATGAGAGGTCCCATTGGCTGCACAGGTGTAGAAATCTGTTGATGCTTTCCACTTGCTACCCACATGCATCACTGACATACCACTGGATACCTTTCCCATGAGGGAAAGGATCCAAAACTGCCTCTATCTTTCCACCAGAGCAGATAAAGCTTTTTAAAACATGTTGTTTATGTTGGATTTCATAATCCAAGTAATTATGGATCATGACATTTCTTAGTAAAAGAAACGTCAGATTGGTTTGTCGGTTCAGAATGGTTTATCTGTTTTAGTGACTGTTCTGTACAGTTTGGTTTTACATCCAAAATGCCAGACACCTCTGTACAGCTACCATTTTTAAGTAAGCAGAAGAATGTAGGAACCACAGGGCCACTTGAAAGTGTGATAAAATTGGGTCAAGAGTTGCATCCAGCTGTGCAGCAACTTCAGACTTYGTTGTGTTTCTGTAGTGTATTGATAGGGAGTTTACATTCAAATGTAGATGCAGACTCTAAACTGTTCACAAAATCTGTGCAGGCCAAATGGAAAGACCCTCTTTTACTTCACTAAAATGCTATTTTACCTGGGGGAAGGCTTTGATGCCAGTAGAAACAGCCTGCTTCAAGCAAACGAGAGAATTTGATATCAAGATGATTTTAGGGAGATCTTTGATTAAAAAGTCCTTTCAAATAWTTTAGGAACCATGGATCAAAAGGTTCCTTTCAGCTCTATATTCATTACAGAGTTTAACAAAGAAACACCTATTCTCATTCTTTCCTCATACTACAATTAGAGGGCTGGGGATTTGTTGTCCCAAAATTGTTGTCCCAATTTTGCAGATAAAAGAAGAATTTTGAATATGCCTTGCCTATAATTTTAATTCACCTTTCATTCTAATTCAATAATGATAAGTACAGGAGACACACATCAAAACCCTTTGAAAAGCTGCTTCTTTAATAAAATGTTGACTTCTGCTATGATGGATCTTTCTCTCTGTGACGCTGCCATTTCCTTTTCCAGTGTGCCTTTTCATTGTTATTATACGGTTATGTATGAAAATATTCTCAATCTGATAAACTCATTTGTCTGTATAATCATTCTCTAGTCCCTTGGAGAGAGAAAGTTTTGCTAATTTCTCCAACAAAATTAAGCTATTGCAGCAGTGACGAGCTACATGACAGCAGTTGGGTTTTGGACACATTTGCCTAAAGGTCCTTGATGTATTTCTCAAGCACAGACTCTGCACCCAGAGAAACCTCTTCTGGGGCACAGGCYATGAATATGAGGATATTGCTCCTCAAATGGGGCTTGAATGGGAAAGGATAGAAGAGAAGCTGGAAGGAAACCTCCCTCTCAAAAGTTTGATTGTGGTGACAGGAAGGATTTTCATTAGTCTTTACTCAGAGAGCTAATGGGTTTCTTCATCTAACTTGTAAATAATCAACAAGCAACATGGTTTACTGAATAAGGCACTTGCCTAATGCTGCAGAAGCTCCTAAAGAGCTAAAAGCCCATCCACTTGGGAATTCTGGTTCAGGATCTCTGAATCCAAGRCTCTGTTTATGCTGGAATTGGGTGGTGAGCTACAGGATGGATGTGACAGGTGAGACACAGGATGGATGTTTGATCCCACTGAGCACAATCAGGCATCACCTCAGCGTGCAGAATTAGCAAGGACTAACATGGCAGAGCAAAGAATATTGCAGCCTTCCTAGTGATTCAGGATGCCACCTTGCTCACCCGTGGCACGCTTGAGTGCAAGATCAGGGCAGGCTGTTGGGATGGGCACTGCTGCTGCTACCACTTTACAGGACAAAGCAAACGGAGTCAGAAGAGCCTCCAGAGGCCCATTCACAAAGCACTACGGGAACTAGGAGCCAAAGGCAAATTTCTTTAGGCCCCAGATGAGGCACCACTGCGTTACAGCACCTGCASCTAGCCTAGATAAAGCTGAGAATCAAGAAAGAAGAACCAAATCATTGCCCACTTTTCCACTCTGTTTTATCAACTTTAGCCGTTTTTAAAGTCAGAAGGAACAATTCCTGTCAACTTGACCTTCTGTAATATAGAGGTCTGAGAATTTCGAGTAGAGCTTGCTGTTTAATTAAAAGGCCTTTTAGTAAGATGGCCACAGCCAGCCTTAATTTAAAACCCTCACACAATAGAGAATCCACATCATCTTTTAACATTTTGTTCCCGTGGTTAATTACTCTTCCTGCAAAGCATGAATAGCTTAAGTCGTAGATTTATTTCTTCCTACAAAGTAAATATATTTCAATATTTTGATAGCTGAGGTTCATTTGACCTAAAGCCTAGCTGCCTATTTTTTGGCCAAATGATTCTTACCTCTCTGATCACTTCAAAACCAAAGCATTAACTGCAAGCTAATTCATTACCTTTGAAAGTTAGGCATAGGGAGAAGCGTGTGGATGGGGCAAATGAAGAAATCTTTTAGTATATATGGGTCTGCCAGAGAACTTTCCCAGTTCTCTGTAGGAGGCTAAATTGAAAATAAACAGAACCACAACTTGCAGAGGTTCAAGARGGCCAGCTGCCAGGGAAAATGCCATCTGTATTTAGCCCTGTCTTTTCCTCTCCATGCCTTAACAACACTCCAAACCATCTGCTATCCTCAATCTGAGCCTTCCCCTAGTCCACAGGCMATGAACCCACTCAGCAGCTCCCAGCACTTCTCCAGATTCCAGATTGGCTGAAAGGTAAAAACCCTGAAATCTGCCTTGTAACTGGTTAYACTACTAGGTAGTTTTAGTAAGGACAACAGCATAGAATATTGAAGCAGAAGTAAGGCAAGGGTATGGAAAAGGCRATTACTATGTGGCAGGTGAAAGCAGAAGGAATGGAATGATACAGGGAGTAGAAAGTCTAGAGTCAGAAATCAAACATTTTAACCACATCAGTGAAAGATACTGTGTGATTAAAGACAAASTATCCATCCTTAAGGAAAATGGGAAGTGATCTTTGCAGCTATGTTAGTTGATCTCAATAACATACAGGCCTTCCTAACAGCTTTGAGGATAAACATTCAAGACTTAGAAAYGGAATCAACCAGCCTGTTTACCAAAGACAGAACACGTAAAACAAACTCAGCAGCTTTCTTCCCARTTCACTTGATTTCTTGTTTATGAGTTGCAGGAAGTTGCATTTATCTAGACTTCACTGAAGTGTTCAGTATGACTTGATGTGGGAAGTTGTTACTTTGAAGGCACTACAATTAATACAGGAAAAGCAAAGCAGGACAGGAGTCAAAGAGCAACAGCAATTGTAYTTATGGGGGATGCAGCCTGGAAGTTATTTTAGTAATTCTCCAAGTGTTGGGCTTGGGGCTATGTTTTTATTCCCTGTTCCACACAAACCAAAATGGAATATGCAGGGTAACACAATGTTGGAAGAAGCCTTGAAGGCCTTGTAAGATGGCACAATTCTAGAACTGCACTGTTGAAAGAAGACTACCACAAGATAGGACAAATGCTGACCTGATGTTTCTTTTGTCTTAAGAACAAAGCATCTGACTACAGCATATCCCTCCTGCTACCCTGTCTATATCTTGGCCTTTGTGAGACACTCAATCACCTCCCACTTGCCCCACTAGTTTATCCTGAAAAAGGAAGAAAAAAAAAACAAAACAAGTACAATACAATACAACAAGTAGGTGTAGTGCCTGTAAGGGTCAATTCTCCTTTGTTCTCAGGGGCTTAAGAGAGGGAAAGRGCACGAGGAAGCTATTGCTATAAACGACTTCCTTTTCATAGCAAAGCTTACTGACAACTTCTTAAAAATACCACCAACATGAGCATTTTAGAGTATGGCTATTAACATTTTATTTTTTAAAAAGACAAAAAAAAGAATACATTATTTCAGCAACTGTAAATGTGTACAAAGTTATGCATTTGAAGGAATTCATGCATTGAAGAAACAGGCTTTGAAAGAGTTTCTCTAAGGCAGTGCTGTGGGACCTGCAGATTCTTTCACAGCCAATACTGCTCATTCCAAATACACTGTAATAACATGGCATTGGGACAGCCAGGAATCCTCCAACATCCCAACACTGTGAAGAAGCCAGTACAGGAGGTGCCTGAACACCCAGCACCTCCATGGAAATTTTGTGATAGAAGGGCTGTGATTATCAAGGCAGAAACCAGGATGTTCCCAGCACACAATGCCATAATCTACAGCTATTCCAGTAAAATCTAACAGTATTTCAAAGCTGTCAGAGAATAGGCAGTTCCCACAAATCTTTTAATTAACTCATCCCAACCCTGATACTGAGTAACAGCTTAATGAGTAATAGTTGTGTATCTATATAAAAAACAAAAAACACTGTTGTGAAATTACAAACACACACAACTTTAGTGACACCATGTTTTCAGTGGAACGTGGCTACTAGCTGCTTGCAGTTTATATACAAAGCTCATCAACTAGAAAGGCTACTACAGGAAGCCAAGTTTTCTTACAAGGTTAAACCCTGGCTAAACCAAGGATTTTATGTGTTACCTTTTGTGATGTGACAATATTAAAAACTGTGATTAAAACATCAGGGTGCAGTGGTTTGTAAACATTTTGTCTTAAGTTAAAAATCCAGTGCATTCTCACTATCTGCTCTGACGTTATGGATCAGCCAACTGACGTGGCCTTCTGGGAGTTCTTGGGAGGCAAGAAAAGCCTGGCCAATTAAAAGTCTTTTAGACAAGTTTACTCTTGGTATYAAGTCATCGATTTTACAGCTGCCCCAAACACAAATGTGATGCATCATGGAATCAAACTGATTTTTTCCTCCCCTCTAGCAAAGGGACAATTTGTAGGAGCAATTTCCATTTTGCCCCATTCCCACTCTGCAGATGGGAAACACAGACTTGGAGGGAAGCAATTTGACCAAGCTAACAGGCCAGGCCAGCAACATAGACTAAGAGAGCTGCAGATGCTGAATGCCCAGGCTGCACAAGACAGAAATGCCCACCTCTGTTCCAACTCCTACAGTCCTCAATCCCCTTCTACTAGGGAAGGATTACTTTATATTTTTGCATTTGGGGAACAGCTCACAGGAAAGATACCTAAAGCAAATGCATCAGGGATGTACAAAGAAACTAGAYTAGCCTATTTCAAGATGGGGGGGGTGTAGGGGGAAGGGGAGAACAAAAAACTCTTCCTGTTGTTCTTGAAGCTCTCCTTGACTCCTTTCTCCTCTTTGCTGACTGCAGTCCTGAGTAATATATGTCTACCAGATCTGGGTGGCAGCTTTCTCAGACCCTTTCCTTGTGCTTCACGTTAGCCAGCTTGACTGTTTCCTGCTCAGAGGCAGGTGGTGAAGGCTCATCGTGACATCCAATCATCAGCTGATAGACCATCACTCCTGCAATGGCACCAAGGAAGGGAGCGACGATTGGGACCCACCACCACTGCTTACCAGTCCTGGAAAGCAAAGGAACAAATGCACGAGATGAGAACTGCAGCTTAGGTATTAAGATACTTGTGTTTGGAGCTGTAACAACATTAAGATTTGGTCATCTGCAAACATAATCATTAACCTGCAAAAGGCAACAGCCCCYGAGTAATCACAGCAACGTCAAGAACAGACGTTGCCTTCTCTGCAAATTCGAGTGACAAACTACTTCCAGGCCATCTCTTAACAACGATGGAAGAAAAGTTAGTGCAGTACTCAATCACACACCTTCACTGCCTTTCCACTTCCTGCAGCAGAGCATCCTTAACAGGCAGCCTATGAGTAATAACTCATGGCTCTCCTGATAATCCACAGCAGATTCAAGTCTAAGGCTCTGCGTCCACTAACACTCAATATTGATTATAGACAGCTTTAAAGTGCTCATGTTGTAGGTGAACCTGAACATCTCATAGATCCTCCTAGGTATCTTCCTTGATAACAAAACTGGTAACTGCCCTGCATCTAGAATTTCTTAAGCAATCAGAGCAGCTAGTGTTTTAAGAATTTTTATAAAATCTAAATATACCTCATGGATACCAAGACTCTTCAGCATGACAGAAGCAGCATCTACTTGAACTAGTTCTTTCACACACACACACTTTTGGCCAAGCTTTTTTTTTTTTTTTTTAATTGTCCAAGACTTACCAGAACACTTCAGTGCCCCAACCAGCAATGGCAGTGAAGAGACGAGGCCCAAAGTCYCTGGCAGGGTTGACGGCATAACCAGAGTTGAAGCCCATGGAGGTTCCAATAACAAGGACAACAAAGCCAACTGTGAAAGCTTCCAGCCCTGTGGGGACGGGGTTGTTGAAGGGATCCACAATAGCCAAGACGCAAACAATCAAGGAAGCAGTGCCAATGAACTGGGGAGAAGGGAGAAAAAAATAATAATCCAGATTARTCTCTCAACCAAGTTATTTAGCACCTCTATTGTCCTGTGCGTTCAGAACTCATCCTTTGGAGCAAGAGAGGAACATTAAGTCATCCCATAACATTATCAGACCTCAATAAACTAAGTGTGCATTGCAAAACTGGAGAGTGGAACACATTTCTGGCAGCCAAAAGGCTTGGATCAAGCTCTCACTTTCCGCCCCCATCCTACCAACAGAGGGACAATGAATGTGCATTTGAACTTCCTTTGGGGAAGAGGACTCTTTGGCCAAGAGGACTAAGAAAAAAATAATAATAAAAAAATAAAATCACAAACCACTGGGAAAAAATCCTAGAGCAGCAGCTCAAGGGGTACATGCAAGAAAACAGTGTCCTTACAGCTGTGATCTAATGTACCACTATTTAGCTCTCTTGCTCTAAGTGTCCTTTTTGGACTTGGCTCTCTCTACTGGCTGTAGAGGGACTTACATTCACTCTGAAAGTCTTCTCTTGAATTAATTCTTGGCCCTAACCAAAGCAGAGGCCCAAAACCATCTCAAAAGATTCCTCTTCAGTTTTCTGGCATTCTCGTAGCATCCTCTTACCTGGTCGAAGAATCCATTCACAGTGTTCAGATGCTCAGATGGGTAGGTGGCAAAGATACCAGCAGTACCATTTGGTCCTGTTACATACAGCTGGTTTTTCCCAAAAGCCCAGATAGCATCTAGAGGTGGGGAGAGAGGAAAAAGAAGAGAGAAAGATCACTCTTGGCATCATATATGAAAGAGGAAGACTTAACATGTGGTCTACCATAATACCTCAGCAGTCTAGCTCAGATTTAGATGGTCAAGTGTCCTGATCCTAATGTTTCTTACTAGTCAGGTACCAGCAAAGAGCTAGAACCCACTCAAAAGAAAACCGTAACCTGAGTCTTAATTCCCAACAAGGTGGAAGTGCTAGCAGAGTTGCAGAAGTCAGACATCCAGATTTTGTTATGATCTGGTCTACAACACTGATTAGATCTAACACCCATTAAGTTACAAACTTAAAGAGTTGATTGCTTTGACTTGCTTATGTTTCAGGGTTACATAACTGCAGCTTTGTCTGGTTATTAGCAGTACTAAATGTTTTTCTGAACATCTAAGAATGTTTAGTTGTTGTCGTCACTGACTATTACTCCATGATTAGGAACACCACCACGTAGAAAGAACAGAGGTATGAGGAACTGGATTTCCAGGATATCCAAGACACACCAATACCTTGATAAGGGCAGACAAAAGTGTACTACGATCTAGAAGCTAATGAGATGGACACAAAAGAGATCAAGTGTGAAACAATAAAAAAATAAATTGACTTTAGCACCATGCACAAGTACACAACCACTGGAAGTGTTTCATCAGCATTTCTGGAAGATCTGTTCTCAACCAGACAGTAACTACTAGCAGGATGATTCAGTGCTTGATCTTACAGTGATTGCTGCTTAAAGGATGAGGACTTTCATACATTATGAACACCATACACCTTGCCCTTCAGACTGATCTGAGGAGTCTTGGACTTATTATCACCATGAGAACGGAGCTGTGCCTGCTCTGCAAGGAAATGCTWCTCTGATATGGGAAGCAGTGTCCCTGAAGACTGCAATGAGGAGCCCATACACATACACACACAGCTTTTGTACTTACCATGGTACAGTCCAAAGACAATGCCAGCTCCTAGGAAAGCTCCCAGTGTTTGGGCCAGTGTATAAACTGGTAGCTTGATCCAGGGTTCTCGGGCCAAGAAGCACATGGCAAAAGTGACAGCTGGGTTCAAGTGTCCACCTGCAAAAAGCTTTGGTTAGTACATTTTTAACAGGCAGAATCTGATCCTTAGCCAAGGACCACTAGTTTACATTATAGAAAAAAACAGCCACCTGGGCCAATGCAACAGTTTTCACAGTTTAAATTCATCCCGTGCAGAGTTGCCACATACCTGACACCTGTCCTGCGATCAAAATGCCAAGTGTCACTGCAAAGCCAAAGGCCAGGTTAACAGTCAGGAAGCCTCCATGAGACCCTTTGCTGAGCATGGTTTGTGCAACAGAGCCGCAGCCAAAGAGCTAGGAGAAAAGAAGAACAGACTGAAGTTACCCTCCATTTTTCCTGTCAGGGTCAGTTGCTCTTCAGTGCCCACAACTGCTCTGCTTGCATCCACACACACCACCCAGTCCAATGAGAGATATTCCAGAGTCAGCACTAGTTTACAAGCTTTATGTTGTATTTTATGCTAGAAGCCATATCTTCTGTACTTGAACATGTTTCCYTATAGAAATTGGGAAATTCTGCAGTTTTGACTCTAGCTACCATTTTCTCATCTGCAAAATCCTCTAGGGATCTATCATTCTGTCTCTGATCCTTCCCTTTTCTAGATAGTTTCTGCTCTGTCCTCTCCTCAAGTCTCTTCAGCAAGTAGCATGTGTACTGACCACCACTGAAAATTCTTTTCTTGACTCCATCTTCACTTTGTTCCTTCATCTTCTCCACACTAACCTGCTCCTGACCTCTCAGGTCTTTCCTAGCCCACCTGTGACACTTTGGTTAAAGGCTGAAAGTATAAAAGTGTCTAGCATTATTTTTAAGGAGAGGGTATATAGGGCAACTTTAGCTCCCAACCTACTCTCATGCTTCTGGAAGAACCAAAATTAGGGCCAAGACTGAACGCAAGATCAGCCCACAGTTCACAGCCACTTCTGCATACAGGAGACCAATAGGACTTTGACTAAACCTCTAGTTTAAGGGCTCAAGGTAGGCAAGAAGAATCCTGACTCACACRGGCTATTCTCTGGACCTAGCAATCTACAGTGCAACTGTTCAGATAAGGGATCTGGGTATATTAGTTTTTTTAAAAAGTAACAGTAAAGTTATGGCTTAAGAAAGAAAGTCGTGTTTAGCCTAGCATGGACAGAGACTACTTTTCAAGCAGTCCAGGCCAACAGGGATTGGGGCAGCTTCCTTAAACTCAGGTAGTGACAGTGGCTTGGCTGCAAAATTCACCACCTGCCATGGGTGCTCTGATCACCATCTACAGCACCCCAAAGAAGCATGAATGATGCAGGACAGCACAGCTGGTCTGTCTCCTCAGTACCAATATGGTACACACGCCAACAACGAAAAAAAGTCAAAGCAGAAGTCCTTTTTTTTCCCCCCCCGCTATCCACACCTATGAGGTTGTATGTTTGGATTTTCCACTGACTACCTGAATCAATTCAGTTCACAGCTGGGATTTCACTATCAGATACCAAAAGCATCCTTGAACCAGAACAGAGACTCAAAGATTACAGCTTGGTCCTGGCCTGCTCCCAGCAGCCAGAGATGCTCAGAGGCAGAGCTCAAGGCTTGCCTTACTACTTCCTGCTTCTGTAATCCCCGCCATCCCAGGATTACCCAATTGCCATGGAAGTAACATCCGCTCCTCGTGGCCAAGTCACAAAGGGGCACTGAGGAGGTGGCACTGGCTCTCTTCACTCCTCTCGCCAACATTGCACATGCCTGTTGAGCAACGTACACTTCTTATCGGGGCAAAGCCAGAACAGAGYCGATGCCTCCCCTCCCACCCCCTTGCTAACTGATGAATTACTAATAAAGCAAACATTGCTTGGCCCACTGGGAAAGGAGGGGCCAGGTAGGACACAGGTTGACTCACGAAATGGACACTCTGTACRCAGGCACCTCTTGACAAGAGGCCAGCTCCACAACACAGGGCCTCATTTGGATTAAAAAAATACAAACTAAGAACCTGTAGAACTTGTTAGGGAACAAGAGTGGACATCCAGCACTGTTCTCATTTAGAACAGCCCCTCCAATACCTGTGCCCTGAGACCCACCAGATCAGGAAACCTAACCCGGAGCTGCCCAACTGAGAACCCACAACCGGGAAGCCTCTTATGTAAAGGTAGAAAAGACAAATATTGCCTATTTTGAAGCAGAGAGCCATAATTCTGAGCTATGCCCAAATCAATGGAAGCCGAATTCCTACTGAAAAAGTAAATACTGAATAATACCCAGGGTGACATCTGTTCCTTTCCTGACCACAGATGAGACCCATCATGCTTTAGACAAGTCTGGACACTATATTTGGTTGTGGTTTCCCTTCTGAGGCCACACAAAGAGGGGACAGCCACACAAAAGGCTGTTTTGGAAATTGGAGTTTGGCAACATTGGCTCCAGGTCCTTCATATTGAAATAAGTATTTGTATTATCTACTCTAAAAGAACTGGCAGTTCTGCAAGAGAATGGTGGTTGGCTGGTTAGCCACATGTTTTTTCAGTTGTAGAATCCACAGAGTAAAGTCTTCCCCCTGGTTATCCACAGCAGACTTCCCTTAGGCTGGAAGAATTCCAGTGTTGCACTTCCCCCAAAGTTATTCCCTGTTCTCCTCTTCCTCCATCCTACACCAGGTAATTGCTCTCTAGCTTTACCTAACAAGATTCTATGGGCCATGAAAATTATAATAAAGAAATAAATAAAAAAMCACACCAGAGCCGCTCCACAGGAGCATTACAAATATTTATCAGATGAGCCCTAAGCGCTGTTCAGATTAATTCAGTATTAACAGCAGAAAATCTGACCCTCAGCAGATAAAGTAAGGMGACATTTAGGGACAAGTCTGAATTTGATATGCATGTGCGCAATTGCACCCTGTGCCAGCAGAGTCCATTAAGCATGCAGACATTCTCGAACACTGCATCCATCCATGGCATTTGACCTTTAGGAATCAGTTCAAATCGCACTCTCCAAAGCTTTTGTGGCGTGTGACCTGACRTTAGAGCATCTAAAATGAAGGCCCAGCTCTCCAGCCAATGTAAGCTGGCAGAGCTAAACTGCAGGATGCTTCCACAGGCCAACCACATGGAAGAATAGCCTTGGCAAAGCAAATTGCACCAAGCAGATGTGGTGTTTGGAAAGAAGCAGTTCTAGCTGTTGTATTGACAAACAACAAAAGTGACTGCTATCATCATGTACATGCAAAATGCATGTTTGCATGGAGTAGGATTCCTTTTGCCTAGTCTTAGGCATCTGAATTGCATGAAAATTTAGAGCACGTAGTCTTTGATTTCCTTCACAGTCACCTGGGAAAAATAGCAACAACAGGAAGAGAAGCCATTCTCCAAGATGAGCATCTAGGAGAAGTCAAATGGCCCAGTGAAGAGCCTCATTTCTCTCCACCGAGGTAGAGAGCACTTACAGTGACCAACACCAGCCCTCCCTCTTCTTGGAGGGGGTTTATCCCTTGGCCCTATAAGTTATAGGCACACACACACACAGCACCTTTTGCTGCCATCTTTTGGGACCACTCCCATCACTTACAGATACTCCCATCTGGATCATTTACCATAATATAGTAACCATCTGGACCATGTACTGCCATTGTGCTCTGCCACAATACTCAAGGGAACAAACTTTCAGCCTAGGTTAAGACTCTCCTATGGCAGATTTTATTATGACCCACTTTTCAAAGTCCTTGCCCTGCCACGTGCTCAGGTTCTGCTATGGTAGTGGCTATTACACTTTTTAAATCATAATCTTCACTTCACTCACTGCATTTCCCACCACTTCCCTTTCCCAGGCCATGCTAGACAGAAGGCACCCAATAGCCATTTTTGAAATGGCCTTCTCTTTTCCAGTGCTCACAGAGAAGAGCTTAGGAGCAGTTAGATCAAGTTCAAATACCAAGGAGGTCATACAAAAAGAATCCATTGTTCATTTAAAAAACATGCAGCTTTTAAACCTATGTAATCAAGGTGAAAATCCTCAGTCAATGTCACTGCATTCTGGAGACAGCTGCTCACACCCACCATACAGAAAACTTCTCCAGCTCTTGATTTTACTAACCTGCCTCYAACACATTACATTTTACATCTCAAACAGAAACCTGGGACAGTCACACATCAGCATAAGCAGCAGTCACCTGTTATACTAGGCCCACTCAACAAATCCAAAAACAGTTTATAAGTGCTAATAAAGTGATTTCAACAGAGCATCACTGTGAATGCAAAGTTACTCTAAGAATGGAGGTGATGGCAATGCACCTATTAACCAGGTTAATAGAAACCTGCTCCCTAATTTCATCGTACTGGTTTGAGCTGATCCTAACTTACCCTGCGGACAGGGAGGGTTCTCAGTCCTCTCCCACCATGATCTAATTCAAGTCTTTGCATGGCAGAAAACGAATATGGGAGAAAAGCCCCACAACCCACCCACCATTTTCAGCAGGATTAGCAGGTCAAACTGGCTCAGTCAAGAGGTGATGGGAAGTCAAGGAGTGAGGAAAACAACAGCCAGATGCAGCGGCAGAACAGAGGAAGGGGAAGGTGGACAGTTGTTGGGTACTACTTCATACTCTGGGAAAATTAAGCTCAATGTCTCCGCTGGGAGACGGGACACCTGGCTTCATCACTCAAGGTGGATACAGCCTGTCCCGTTGGTACCCAGGACAGAATGCAAGACTGGAGACCTCAGTCTTCAAGTTAATGAAGGCTGGTAGGAAAGAACTTTGGAGTTGGGAGGAAAGAAAACACCTAAAAATAACAACAATAATAAGAGGCTACATGAGTTCATAAAATAATTTGAGAAAAGCAGCTCTGTGCACGAAACTTGGAGGACGATAAGTCCCAGCGCTCTGCCACACARTAGTCAGATTTACTCTCTCATTTCCCTTCTCTTCCTTGTTGAGGCTTTTTCACAGCTTCAGGTGCAAAACAAAAGTCCTGGATGCATTTACTGTTGTACCTCAGACAGATGGATCTCTACAATGAAGTGGAAAAGTTCTGCCAACATAACCTCAGAGGAATACTATTACCTGAGTGATGATTTAAGCCAGCAAATAAGCCAGGGATTAGGCAAGCAGCCCTCTGTAAATCTACCTTAAGCACCTCAGTGAATGGAAAGGTTGTTCAGACCTAGGTGCTGTCAGACCAGTTTGCAGGGGAGATGCCAAGAGGGAAGTCTTGGGGGCTGTGGCAGACAAGCTACAAGGGAAGTCTAAAGAAAGAAACCCCGAGCTGTTGATGAAAGATCTGAAGCACCAGACACACATCAAGTGACCCTCTCTTCATAGCAGAATAAAACCAWGGACAWTCACTACAATCCCTTCAGAGAGGAAGGTTAGGAAATACAGGACAGAGGACTATAATTTTACAGTCAGTTCAAATACCCTCCTGACTTGTTCCCTTCGATTCAAAGGGAAAAACCTTTCAAAACACAGAACAATCCTCCAACATTCAAGGACCCCAGCTAAGCTCCCCCATGTCTTCTTGCTGCCCTCCTCAGTGAGGGTCCATCTGGGTAGACCTATGCCAAGCGTCTACCCACTTCTCCTTAAGCAGCACACACATTCCTTATTTCCACAACCAGCACAGCCAGGACACCTGCCACTGGCAGAGTTCAGAGCCAGAACAAGGAGCACAGTCATTTTTGTCTTTCCTTAAAGCCTTTTAAATGGTGGCACTGGTAGASGTGGACAGTTTACAAAGCAAGAAGGATCTGCTGGTCTGACTTCTCCTTCAGCACATGCAGGAACAGCCGTACAGGAAAAGGCAAGGCAGATAGCCCACATGTTATGGCTCTTTCTGCACAGACAGCCTGTCTCAGAGCCCAGCAGTGCTGCAGGACTTGAGATAAGTGGGGCGAAGGGAGGCTGTGCTGTGCCTACGTTGCATGCTGCTACTGCAGCAAAGAGCCAGGCAGGCAAACAGGAGAAACTCCAGGAACTATCAGCAGGGGAGCTGGGACATTAGGAAAAAAGTTCAATGCTTTAGTCACTAAAGCAAGACCAATAAATCCCTGTTAATTCATTAAAAAAGAAAAAAAAAAGAAAAGAGAGAGAGAGAGAAAGAGAGAGAGAGAGAGAGAGAGAGAGAGAGAGAGAATCAGGTCAGCAGGATTAAGCTCTCCAAGAGACCTAGACCCTCTGTGGAGCTTTGGACAGAGTTGAACAAAATGGGGATACAGCACAGGTTCAGCAGGAGGGATCAGCGGAGCTCAACGTATTTCCTATAGAAAGATTTTCAGCTCCTCTTAAGCACTAGCAAAACATTAGCAAGCAAAAAGCCACATTCTCCAAGTGTTGCAAGTTGGGTTTGCAAGGAGAAGTCAAAAAAAAAAGCTCTAAGGAAAGCAAACATCAGTTATGGAAACTGCCATGCCACATCAAACGGCTGTACGATAAGCAGAGACTTAGCACTCTGCAGCACCAAAAGTTAAGTGAGGCTCTTTTCAATTTAATCATCCCAGCCTCTTTGTCATTTTGGTTTCTGTGGTCTACAGCACCCTTATAACTAAAAGTTCCCACCTAGCCACAAAGCCAAGAAAACCCCAACAGAGGAAAAACAATATATACATAAAACTGAATCATTACGCTATTTGTTTTTCATTCTTGTTGTGTTGGTCCTACTTGAAAGTCTATTGCAACCACACATTGCTTCTTCCACCAATACAAGAAGTGAATAGAGGCAGCTCTGGCATTTCAAGCCAGGAGAGCAAGGCAACACATGATGTCTTTGAGGACGGTGCAGAGCCCTGCTGCTGCTGGAGGTCTCACTTCAGCACAAGTAATAGCACTAACAGCAAGCGACTTGGAAAATGCCTTCAGTGTTCGCACTGCTTAACTGTTGTCAGTAAGTGGTGCTTCCAACTTAGCTATAAAGTTCAAGGCTAATGCACCGCTCAGAAACACATTTTGAATGTGGAAATGGTCTTAATCAAAGGAAGTGTAAAATCAGAATTATTATTGCTGTAACAGAGACTCAGTCTACAACCAGTGTTCTCAGTGCAGCACGAGGTGCTGTACAAGTTGAGAGCAGTGTACAAGCTGTTAATACCTTGCCCTTGCACTATGCAGGGCTTGGCTGCCTTATTTGGATTATTTTTCTTACCTTAAAAAACACACACATACACAACCTAGTGGTACAGAACGTGTGGGTGTGTATTTCTTACATGCAAAGAGAGTCTCTGGTCTGCCAGAGCTCTGAAATGGTTTTGCTGCCTGAGAAACAGAAGATTTGAGAGCTCTGATCATTACGTGAGCAAAGGGTGAGGGGGGAAGGGAAGGAAGAGATGTCTAATGAGAAGACCCTGAAGCCGTGCCAACATCCTTGGTGGGACAAGTTTTACATTACACAGTGCGAATTCAAGCCGCACACTTGAAATAAACAGTCTCACTCCCTTCAGGTTCAGGAGCTTGACTTCAGCACAGAGCACGCCAAGCCCTAAATTCAATGCTAGTATTTTGCTCTGGAGCTCTTCCCATTCAGTCCACACAGGCACCTCAGTCTCCCATGAAGACACCTTCATGGTCCCTATGGCACCTAGAGGTATTTTCTTGTCTGGAGCCCATAACACAGGTCTACCAGACTCAAATACAGCTAAAGGCACTTGCAGCCAGCTCCAGAGAGAGGGGCTTGTGCAGGATACAAATGGGCAGTTTTCCTCCAGGCAGAAATATCTCCAAATATCTCAGGATCTCTTGGCCTTGGGATTCTCTAACTCAAGTTACTACCTGGGGTAGTAGGGAAGAAAGGCAGTAATAGGAAAAGAAAGCACGAACAAAAACCCACCACACACTTCAGTTTCAAGCTCATTTTGTTCATATAATATGATAAAAAGACTCAGAAGAATCCAAGCCAGAATTGTTTTTTAAGCACAGTACAATCAGAAAGTGTCRCTTCATTAAAACAAGAACAGCCCAGATAAGCTTTAAGGCAGAAATGTGTTGAAACAATACCCAGAAGCACAATTTTGCAGTTCCCTGAATACTCGGCTTCCTCTCTGTGTATCCCAGATTTGCTCCCTGACAGTGACCAGGGAGTGTTCACCATCTCTGGGACTTCCCCTTTCTCCTTCAAGCCCACTCGACCTTCCCCTCCATGAGCACCCCTAGCCCTCCATCCACTCCAGAGGTTGGAGAGGCATAGGAAGTCCCAGGTGTATTCTGGAAGCCTGTTGATACAGAGTTGATAGCATTGCTCGAAACAACTATTTCTGTGCTTCTCCCCATCCAAAGCTTTCATCCCAGCTCTCAGCTCCCACTTTCTGCTGCTCTCATTTTGCTATTGCAGACTAACCAAGCTGGAAGGTACCTGTTTCCACTCACATTTTGGGCTGTAGATGCAATTTTGAATCAAATCTCCCCTAGCACTCTGAGCAGCTGCTGGCTCCTCTCTGCCTGGGAGAGGCAAAGCTGCAGGGGCAATTAATCTCTATTGTAGCAAATGATACAATAGATAAGGAAGAATCACATTCTTTGGATCACAAGCCCTTCTGTAATCTTCAAGGCTAAAGGCTTGCCTGGCTTCTCCCGTGCATTACCTTGGATAACAAGAGAGGTTATTCCTTCTTAGAAGTCATACCTTACTTCTACCCAAAGCCTAACCGTAACAATGAGAGTAATTCAAAGATAGCAACTTTATAATCTCTTAGTCATTTCTCCCATTAGCTTCTACCCACCTGAATACTAAATAATCCCAAGAAACAAACAGGACTTRGTTGCAAACCACCACAGCTGTCTCCAAAGATAAAACCATTGCATTGTGACAAATCGCTTTCTTTTAGGACTAGTAGTGTTTTATGGGAATGTGGGGTCATCTGCTTTTCCATAGGACACTTAATAGCCCTCCTTCCTCCAAAATGAAGTAGCTTCTAATTTTTGAGAGCAGAAACAGTGCCTCTCTTCTACGTTTTCTCCAGAAGCACAGGAAGCTTCCTCAAGCTTTTATTATTTTCAGCTCTTCCATCTGTAACTGCTTTCCCCAAACAATGCTGCAGTCAGCTACAAGGTGGTGTAAATCCACAGTCCCTGAAGCCTTTAGCATTGCTCTTGATTAAAAAACTCCAGGCAAACTTTCAGACAGTCACTGTGCAAACACCAACTTGTTTCYCATGCAATACCAATACACCAGACTCTGCAGTCATCACTTGCAGCACGTTGGACATTCTTACATTTTCAAATACAGATGCTCAAACCTAAATGTCCCTAGTTTTGCCACCCTGCTGTTTTCTCCTCATGTCCCCATGTCTCCAAGCATTTTGATTTCTCGCCTCTGCCTTGGACTTCAAAGCAAGCCAGGACCACTCTAAAACAACTTGAGTCACTTAGATGGATATTGACACAGGAGACACCCTAATTTATTCCTTACATCCCACCCCTTCAGGACCTGAGCACTAAAACAGAAGCATTTCGTTGCCATTCATCACTTTAAAGCACATTAAGTGGCAGCGCCGAGCAGCCGCACGGGTGGCGGGCACGAGCTCGYGATCAGCTGCCAGCAAGGGCCGGCGCGGCGCACTGCAGCCCAGCTGATAAGAACGGGCAGCAACCAGAAGGAAACTTCTATCAACAGTTTGAACCCAGCATCTTCTTTAGAGGACTCGCATGGAAAACAAAGTGAATGGGGAGAAAAAAACCTTTGCTGCCCAAGTGATAATGCTGAGGGTATTTTAGGGCTGAAAAACTGTTCTAGGAACAGAAGTTTTACAYGCTCTCTAGCAACACTTGTTGCTTTTACAGAAGTCATTTTACTCCCACTACTTTAGGGGACACACTGGAGGCCCTAGACACCTGCAAAGCTCCCCCATAACAGCAACCCTAACCCGCACCCTTGAGCAAGTCCCATTAACCCTGTCCTGCAACTTAGGGGACTTCTGCTCTCCTAGACCCCATGCAGCAAACTGCAGCAAAGCTGGGCTAACACCAGCACACATCCCAGTACCAGACCACCCTCCTTTGCCAGGACAAGTTAGTGCACACACAGCAGAGGACAAGCCCCCCAAGACCCCAGACTTACCACGAGAATCAGTGTGCCCAGGCACTCGGCCAGCGCTTGCCGCACAAGCTTGTTCCTGATCCTCAGGTGCTCCTCGATGGTGGCCAGAGCATCCTTTTGCCTCCCCATTGCAGCAAAGTGGTCTCTCAAGCTGGATCAAGCTGGAGAAGAAGGAGCTGGCAAAGACACAGCAAGAGCTCTCCCCCAGCACAGCTGCCTTTGCTTATAAGTAAGTCCTGTGATGCCTGACACACCTCCTGCGTAACCACTCCCCCGTCTCCCGTGCCTCAAACTCGGCTACTTTTTTATTTTTCCCCTTCTTTTACAGCCCAGGACAGAATGGGTGTTTTTCTTTCTTTTCCTTGGTTGCTCACACAGGTAAGCAGAAGCTCCAGGAGGCCCGAAGGAAGGGGTTCCTTCAGAGGGGTGAAGAGGCAAGGCGAMGACGTCCCCGCTGAACTTGGGCTGTTTTTATCCAGCTAGAGCAGTGCCCGAGTCTGTCCCACTCCAGCCTTGCCTCAAATCCAGAGAGTGAAATGAATATGCTGGAGTGTATCTTACCCACCCTGTGCTGTCAGTGTCCTGTTTTCAGCTTTCTCTCCCTCCCAAGTTCAGTTTAGGATGGCAAAGAGGTTATCACCCCTGTGCTGATTCACAGACCACAGCTGCTTTTTCAACGAAATAGTGGGGCTGGAGGGTTTGATCTGCCACATCTGAGCTGTGGGCTGAAGCCAAGGATCCCTGATTCCAGTGATCACCCCAGTTAAAACTGGTCTCATGAAGCCAGACTCTGTTCAGATCAGAGTCCTGGATCAAAACACTAGACCTGGGTCCAGACTGTTGTGTGTTACCATGATTTCTTTCTGCCTCCCAAGGCTGTGGGAGAGCACTTGCAGTGCAGTCCCCATGCAAGCTGAAAGGAAAAGCCACGAGAGATCCCAGTCGTGAGCCGCGAGCCGGTCCCTCCTCATGGCAAGGGCGCATGCCTCACGGCTTGAGCAACTCTTTGGGGCTATGCTGTGAGCAAGAACCCTGCAGTGATCATCCCCGGGACCACCAGCCTGACTCATTTCACTGAGCCTTGCAGGAATCAACCACTTTSACTCCCTTTCATCCCTGGGAATGTCATATATTACCCTGAGCTGAGTTTATGAGACTGCCTGAGTGAAAGCTGTCCCAGCCTGTAGCATCTCGGGTGAAAGCTGGTATCAGAGGACACATGCTACTTTGGCATCTGGTTTCTATTAAGTGAGCAGTAAAAATTCCCTAAGCTCATCGGGACTTGATACAGAACAGCAGAACTGAATTTGCAGGACTGAAAGGGACCCCTTTCCTGGATTTGTTCCCCCACCTCCTCTGCAAAGCAACAGATTCCTGGCTTTTCCTCTTCCACATATTTAACCATCAAACTTCCTGCTAGAAAAGCAGAGCTTTTCAGTGCAGTGATGAATAGACCTTTATTCAGTACAGAAACTGCAGCCAGACCGGGCAGCAGAGTCTGAGCAACAGGGATGCAGTTAAGAAGGGAATAATGTTTAAGGAATCAAATACAGAGACACATTTGAGGTYCAAATGTAATTGCAGGAATAGGAAACATTTCTCATTACCCTTAGTAATCCAGTCCAGTCAAGTCCAGTATCACTGACATCGGCAGAGTCCTTCCAATCCACCATGTGTTCAACCAGCCCCACACACACTTGCTAAGGCTGTGGTTTATAAATCTGTGCTTGGGACACCCATTTTTTCTTCACCCCTCTCTCTCTTGCCCACATACTCTTGTGCAAGTCACACAAACTTCAGATTTATTTAGATGTATTTCCTTCTGTCATGGTGTGCTGCAGGGTGCAAGCAAGAACACCAGAGAGAGCCTCCTGAGGAACAAGAGGGTCAAGGAGACATGATGTTCTCCAYGTAGGTTGACACATGTCTCCATCCCTGTAGCGTCTGCTGTCCACTGGCTTTGGGTAAGAGTTCGAGGTACAGGAATTCCTTCTGTGTCATTCTAATGAAGTGGGGAAGTGGGGAGGCGAGATGTTTAGGCTGCCAGGTAGATAGATGATAGAAGGTTAGAAAAGTATAGAAAGGAGCGAGTCTGGAGAACCAGGATGGGGTGGGCACCTTATGACTCACTGCCTGACCCCGAGCAAATCCCTCACCTTTCCACACCTCAGCTTCTCCATCAGTGAACCGGGAGATTAACCCTGGATCCCCTTCCTGGGGTGTCGTGAGGGTGAATCATCACAGCCAAAAATCCAACAATTTGCAATGAGCAATACTTAAGCAATTGCTTTCACAACAGCCAGCCATGTTATTATCTAGGGAAAGGTTTAGGTAAGGGGCATGCAACTGTGGAAGAAGACAAAGATCTTTCCAAAAGCAACAATTAAAGTGTGGAAAAGGGTTGAAAGACCCTGATTCTGCCTTTTCTCTGTGCTAAGGCTGGAACTGTCCCACCAAACCAAACAGCTGGCATCCAGGGACACCTGATATAAACACAAAAGAATTAAATATGTGATACAACAACAATTTCTCGAAGAAGCTCATCTACCCCAATACCTGCTGCCCAAGGTACCAGTACCCATCCTGTGGTTAGAAGAAGTCCATGGGTCAGTAGAGATATACAAGAAAGTCAGTAGCGGTAAGACTGATGCTAAGGCAGTTCCCTGGAGCAGCTGTGCCTTCCTAGCTCTCGCTGGACATGGCAAGATGTCCAACCCTTTAGCACTGCTTTGCATGGACATTTAAGACAGCTCTTTCAGAGCACAAAGCTTTGAAAGAAGGACATATAAAGTGTCTGTCACACAAACTTGTACCTGACTTATTTCTGATGGTGCCAAAGCTATTGAAGTACAAGCAAGGAACTTCAGTGATCAATCATATCCCATTTCAAACATCATGCATCAAAGTGCAGAGTGAACTATCGCTATCAACCTGCACAGTATCCCCAAAATCAAGGCACTGGGTCTAACATATTGCCTTGAGGAAAATGCTAGTTGCCCATAGGAAAGCTTAAAAACAAAAAAGAAACCTAGCTCAGCAGTGACCAGACATGGTTTATTCTGGTGTGCTTGTTATATAAATCTCAGTCCTTTTCCACAGTTAGCATTTTATCCGTCTGGCCGTCCCCTTTCAATAAAGCTGATCCTCCAAGCCTCAGATTTATGGAGAACTTACAATTTTTGTCACTTTATCCCTTATTCCTTTCTTTTCCCTCCTGCAGAACCTTGCAACATGCTACAAGAAACTCCCTGTGCTTGGCCTATTATTTCTAGATGTGATCCAAAACTAACACCCGGGTTCCAAGTTTCCTGTTTACACATCACCCTGGCTGCTTGGCTCTATTCCTCGCCACTCCACTCAGGGAAAAGCACAGGTGAAATTTTAAGAGAACTCGATCCTTGGCTGCTCCCTCTCAACAGTTTTCTTACTGACACTAGTGTCACAAAATAAAAGCAGACTCATACACTCCGTAGCTTCTGCAAAGTGCTGAATCAGCCTCCAGAAATTTCACAATGAAAACCTAGGTTTACCACAGTCACCAGATTTCTCGTTAAACAGCCAAATAGATAAACTTGAGCTGGTGTCTTCCACATCTTATCCAAGTCAATTTGATTCACCCATCTCAGAATGCATGGTGCAAACCAATACGGAGAAAAGCGTGAATCACACAAATCTGTAATGACTCAGTGTTTACACAGGCTACTCGGTACAAAGGTGGTTAACCCAAGAGGGGGGTCATTGGGTATGACAGAATTCACCTTGTGAAGTTTCCCTTTGGAAGATACCTCTGACTGTCTCTCCCTTTCCATTATCCACTTGACACATTATGTGGTGTCACGTTGGGAAGATTTCCTTTAAAAAAATTATAGCTTGCCTACCAAAGTGGCGTAGGAAGTACAGGCGTAGGATGTTTAGGAGCTTTCTAAATGATTCTACCTGGTTGAGTGTAGTAATTTCAACATCCTGCCTCGTATCTCAAGATATGCAGAGGTAGGTATTAATTTCACGTCTGGGTATGCACTGCTGTGTGTTCTGAGTTAGAAAACTGGGGAGCTTTCTATGGGAAAAGTACTACATACTATACACAATGAGAGTCAGCAGTATTCAGTGTTGACCACATCTGTATTTGGATAAATTTAAGCTGACACTGCAATCCTAATTTAGACTCCTTGGACATCCRGAAGAGAGGCTTGAAAGTTGCCAAGCTTAGTTTGCATTTTAAATTAAAATGTAATAATGGGGAAATTATTTAAAATACCTGGAAAAAAATCTCTGTGCGAAGTCCATTGCTCAGGATCCCTTGGAGTGAAAGCTGACCTGGACATCAGTCTTTACATGGTGTCATTTGATAGGATCCCAAAAGGATGAATCCTCCATAGACACCTTGGGAAATGGGCCCACAGCCTATTCCCACTAGTACTACTGTGTCACCTCTGATTTCACCTTATCAAAAAGTTGGACCCAATTTACTGGGACAATCACTCAAGTGGCATTCTTGCAAAAATACCACTTTCCAGTGTACACAGTTGCATACTACTGTGTAATAGCACTGTATAGTACTGTATAATAATGCAGTACATAACTATTGTACAAGGAAAACCAACTGCTTCTGAAGAAATCTCTCTAACAACACATCTGAAAGGAGAGCTGCTAGGAAAAACCCTCCTGAAACAAGGTGTTTGGAAAGAGTTTTTCCCCTAAACTGCTTTAGACAGTCATTCCACTGAGATCTGCAAAGGTAGCTGTGGGTTGGAGACACTGCTGTTGGAGACACCACAGCAGGAAAGTTCAAAGACCCTGAAGCCAGAAGACACAACAATGGGGTGAGACTCAGCTAGCCCAAGGTGTGTGTCATAAGCAATAAGAAGAAATTTTCCTATCCGAAGAGGATGTGTCCTGGAATGGGGAATGTGCCAACTCTCCCACCTAACCACAGGTAGCCTCAGCACAGTGTCCCAGTACGGATGTCCTCAGGGAGAGTAGCAATCACTTTAAGAACACGATGCATCTAGATGTCATTTTAGATGTCTATTCTGCGTCCTTATTTTAGAAGTGTCTGTTTCTCTTCCTTGACTATAAAAAGAAACTTAAAACACAGCGTCTAGATGGAGACAGCAATACATAGTGCAACTCCACCCAGGTGTCCCCGAGGAATTGAAAAGCTGCAAAAAACAAAGGCGTTGGTACCACAGATGGGGTGAAGTAT